GCTTAGCATACAAGCGAAGAAGAAGAAGAAAAAAAAAGCCCGCCCGCGAGCGACGGAGGCGCGCACGCGCGCGCGCGAACGCCCACACGAACACGAAGTGCGAGTCCACCAACAGACTGCAGAAGGGCAACAGAACTGGTCTCCCGGTGGCCCAGACTGCATTTCCTGTCTGTATACACACTTCTCTGCCAGAGTTTCACAGGCGGGAGCTGCATTATTTAACTCCTCGTGCATAATTAGTACTTTACAGTCAGGAAAGAAGTTCCTTGATGTCTGCGATTTTGAGAAACGGGTTCATAACAAGCATGCTTTCGTTGTTTCCAAAAGATGCTAACTCTTTTTCAAAATTGTTAGTGATACCCAAGCATCCAGCTCTTTCTTTTGAATCGATTGAATGTCATGCAGATGGCTTTATTCCAAGCATTAATGCTCCCACCCCACCCCCTTTTTTAAAAAAGAAAAGTTGTTAATATAAAAATGAAGGCTCCTCTTTTGATGGGTAAATAAACAGAATGTTGATCCTGAAGGAAAACAAAAAATCCCAAATCTCGTGCAGTGAATGAGAATTCAACAGGTAGGATTAAATTTGCATCTGAAGCCTATTTGCATTTTTGGTTCTGGGCAGTCTCAAAGTCTTTCATTGAAATAATGCTTCTCTTGCAAAATTACCACATTTTATCAGTATAAGCACCATTCTAACTCGGGTATAACTTTTTTTTTTACCCAACAAGTACTTTCTGTTGTTAAGACATGCAAATGGACAGAACAATGAACTAAGAACACTTGAGGGCTCAACCTTCATGCAATCTGGGATTCTCCTCCCTTCATGCCCTCCAGCAGCTGGTTTGAAGAGGCCTACAGCTTGTTATAATGACAGTATTTAAAACCACTGATAAGTCTTATTTTCGTAATTTTTTTTAAAGTGGTGGTACCCATGGTGGGCAAACCATCTGCAGATGAATTCCATAATATAACTGAAAAAATAATTTCTTTTATATGTGCCTGAATCTAGAACTGTTTAACAGATACATATGCTCTTCAAGCCCAAAAGCACTACAGTTTACAAATTACTATACTGTAATTATTATATTGTTACATATTGTAACAATAAAATTCAACCTACCAATTAAAACCATAAAATATCTAAAACATCTGGTTAAAAATGTTTTAAGACTGCATATAAATCTTTCTGCCACTTCAGCTTTCTCTGTATGATGCATAATTTTATATACTTCAAATGCATCCTTTTTCCTAGACTAAAAAGTTGCTGCTACTGTAACTTCCTCCTAATTGGGTTGTTCCAGTCTTTTGATTTAGTCTAATAAATCAACTGATTCTCTTGAAATGATTTCAAATGTGATTTATATATATATCCATAGGAAAATATGCTGAAAACTGAAAGCCTCTTATTTTATTTAAATGTTTTTGGATGGTTCATGCATCAACAGTTTTATTTTGTATGGAGAAACTGAGGGTCTATTCTACAGCTATTAACATTCTTTGATCTGAAATATCCAATAGTAGAGTGTTTCTAAAATGCCTTTCATCCATTTTGGATTAGCTCTTCCGCCCCCTCACTTTAAGTATTTTTGAAGATATTTTTATTTCTATGACAGTCTTTGGTGCAATATTTCTGGTCAGGTGGATTTAAAAAGTGCAATAGGTAAAAGCAGCAAGCTTCAGAGTGAATCCTTTGAAAAATTCTTAAGAACTGTTTGAAAGAAAACTGGATGGTTTAAAATACACAAGAGGCCAAAATAGCTGAAAGGACTTTCACCCAATGCTCATTTTGCAAGTAGGCCAGTGGCTCTAAGATGGTCATTCCTCTAAATGTACAAAATCAAGAAAGCTTTGCCCTGTTTTTATTTAGTGCCCCAGAATGTTTAGGCTAGCTACTCATATGTATTCAGTAGGAAAATGCGCTTTATGTACTTGAAACATAATTGCGCATATTACAGGAGCTCCTAATGGAAAGATATAGCATGATTCTGTGTGCACTTCACATGTACCTTTCAAATTTCTTTTGATGGAGGCCAATCTAATTATCTACTATAATGAAAAATCAGAAGGAATCTGGTAGCATCTTTCAGACTACCAAATGTTAGTTAAAGGCATTAGCCGATAGCTTTTTGTTAAAAAAAAAAAAAAAGGCATATGCCTTTTACTAAAATGTATTAGTCTGAAAAAATAGCACCAGTCTCCTCTTGATTTTTTGGCTATCATAGACTAACATGGCTATTTTCCTACAATGTCTACTAGGGATAGATAGATAGATAGATAGATAGATAGATAGATAGATAGATAGATAGATAGATAGATAGCATTTTATGTATCTATCTTTGTCAATATGAGAAATTAAGGGATTTGAAAATACCATTATAGGAAGAGGTAATTTTTTTTCCTGGCAAAACTGTCCCAGTCTACCCATTTACTCTGTCCCAAAGAATTAATGAACAGATCTTGAACTACATTCAAACAAAGCTATGGAGACCAAGATTCCAGATCAAGATTCCATTTGAGCAAGAATATAAAACAGTATTTTGTATTATTGATTCCTTATACAAACCTACTCCCTGAATGTGTGGAGGCAAGAGCAGGGCTCCACCCCATTTCTGATGTGAACAGAATCTAGTACCTACATATTTGGAATAGCGTTCAGAAGAGACTTTCTATTTCAAGTGTGAAGCCAGCAAACACAGCTCCCTTCTACAAATTCATAAAACACAGGACATGACTCTTCTGCACAGATTTCATATCATAGCCATGATTACCTGCTTTGCAAGGTATACAAAATAAGGCAATAAAAATGTTAAAAATCAGTAATAAAAAGTACATCTTTGTTATTTTCTTAAAAAGTAGTACGTGTTTTAAGTAGATCAACCAATACCAACAATGCCAATTTAATCTATTAGTTAGTTACTATACTTGTATCCAATCTTTCTTCTAGATTCAAGGCAGTGTTCATAGCCATCCCACACAGTCTCCCAAGCAGGCATAGATCAGATCTATGCTTTAAGGTCTGGCAAAGTCACAGCATTATTTGCCTGTACAGCACACTCCTTGCATTTGACTATGCAGACTGTGTCATGGCTATGGTCACAGAGGACTCTGGATCTGTGTAAGCTTTCTAATGTATAATGTGTTTTGTACTGAAACTGAAATAAATATTTTGCATAGCTTACTGTACTTGTTGGTAAAATGAAAAGTTCCCATCAGTGTTTCTAAAGTACATAGTGGTTATGGAGGCTTCCTGCCTTGGATGGAGGAGAGGGGTGGCACTGACTTTCCTACCAAGGGCACTCCTGTGCGCTAGATGAGTGCTCACCCATAGTTTCAGTTTGCAATCTTCTTCATACCTGCCCTCTTTTCATTTTTCTTTGTTTTCTTTGTATACTAGTACAGGAGTCATTCCAATATCCCCTCTTGCCACAAAGTAGAAAGTAAGTGTAAGGGTAGTTCCATCCCTTTTTCAGACTACAGGGGTGAAATCTTCTCCCTGGCTGGATTGCTTCCTAAACTCGAGGTGAGAAATCTTTGGTACCGTACCAGTACATTAATTTGCAGTTAATAATAGATGCTTATAAAAGTGATTTTTTTTTCAAATGAAGTTTATTTGGAAACACCCAATTAGTTTCTATATTAAAGCCTGCTACTATAAAGAAATAAATAAAGCCTTTATCTAGGTCTCAAAATAGCACATCAGTATCTACTAAAAGTGGCAAATACATTCACTGAAGTTTATTCTCAACCTGTTAAAAATAACTCTCATCTGTCCTGTTACTGTTTCTTCATAATGCAAGATGTAAGTTCTTCTTACAGTAAGAACTTGTTATATTTCAGCACATATAATATGTTAATATGCTTCCTATATAATTTGCATAATTCTCCTTAAAGGAGGATCAATGTCATAATTTCAATTCTTTAAATTTGATCTTGGCCAAAATGTTTTCTAGCCTTGTTCTTACGTAATTGTAAGAAATGAAGCTTAGGAACCAGAATTTCCCAAGCCAGAAAGTGCCATTATGTCAATATATATCAGGTGCTAGTCCCTTTCAGGCCTGTTTCGAGAATGTCTATTCAAAAGGGCAGGAACAAAAAACCCAGAATTTAAACTCTACAGCATAGATTTATATACACGCTTACTTTCTGTACTACTGAGGCAGATCTCCTGTATGGGTACTGTTTAATTTTTGTATGCAAAACCCTAGTTGTATCTGTGAGACTACTGCCCAGTAACCACTCCCTGAATAAGCCATTAATGTCTGGAGAGCTGAATTTCAGAGTTATACTCATGTGATACTTGAAAGGAATGACTATATACATTAGTGATTAATATGCAGTTCTGTGTTACTACCAATTCCTCTGCAGCTGGACAGAGAAAAAGGAAAGCACTGTCATTTCCTGAATTCATGGCTACAGGAATTTGCTGATTTTAGTAGCTAGGAGTGCTTTTTATTGCCAGTTGCAACTCTATCTGGAGAAAGTAGACCTTGCGTCAGTCATATAAGTATTTGTTGCATCCAGACAAGACTGCTTTAATGTGTAAGTAGATTT